TGCTCTCTCTCTCTCTCTCTCTGTCTCTCTGTCTTGCTCTCTCTCTCTCTCTGTCTTGCTCTCATATCATGCGCAACAAATGCACGATGCGGGGCACATGCGGGGCCCAAACAAGTGATTAACCTCTGCGGGTGTGTACTCCACGCCAGTGTAGTATCCACGATCGTCCGCGCGCCACGAAGTGAAGTGTCCTGACGTCATAGGGCGGGAAGCTGGGTGTGGGTGGTTCCCGAGAGTCGTGTGGATGTTTGGTAGAGCTTGCATTGCCCCCCCACGAAGTGGGGGTATTGGCTGGCGTCGCATGAAAACCCTGGCACTGGGGAGAACACTGAGCGTTCGGGTAAAATGATTGTTGTTGTTGTTGTTGTTGTTGTTGTTGTTGTTGTTGTTGTTGTTGTTGTTGTTGTTGTTGTTGTTGTTGTTGGTTGTTGTTGGTTGTTGTTGTTGTTGTTGTTGTTGTTGTTGTTGTTGTTGTTGTTGTTGTTGTTGTTGTTGTTGTTGTTGTTGTTGTTGTTGTTGTTGTTGTTGTTGTTGAACATTATTACTTCTAAAGAATAATTATTGTTGGGACCCCTGGTGCGCGACCCCCCTCCAAAACCTAGGCCGCAGCTACATTTTCATCATTTTTTAGCGAAAGCTTCAGAAAAGTGAATTATTACCGGATCCGGTTGTTTTGTTGTACTCCGTTTTCCCTTGCAAAAAACACTATAAAATGAAAATTCTTGTTCTTACTTGATCAAATTGCAAGAATCCCTTGCAAAAAATAAGGTAAAGTGGACATTCGTGCGCGCAAGACGAAATCCTTCCAAAACCTTAGGTTTCGTAACGATTTTAACATAAAAACATCAAAAACCCAATGGTTTTTTAAGAAAAAATTGTCAAAATGTCCTTCCGCGCGCGCTGTCCGAATCCCACAAAACCAATGGTTTTTCAACATTTATGTTACATGAGCTCGCGCGAGCTACTTTTTCTTGTTCTAACATAATCAAATTTCAATAATCCCTTGCAAAAAATAAGGTAAAGTGGACATTCGCGCGCGCAAGACGAAATCCTTCCAGAACCTTAGGTTTCGTAACGATTTCAACATAAAAACATCAAAAACCCAATGGTTTTTCAAAAAAAAATGTCCAAATTTCATCCCGCGCGCGCTGTCCGACTCCCACAAAACCAATGGTTTTTCAACATTTATGTTACATGAGCTCGCGCGAGCTACTTTTTCTTGTTCTAACATAATCAAATTTCAATACTCCCTTGCAAAAAAAAGTAAAGTGGACATTCGCGCGCGCAAGACCAACAAAAAACACGACGATCTCAGGAACTTGCCCCAAAAATGTGACCAACTCCGCTCTCTCTGTCTCTCTCTCTGTCTGCTCTCTGTCTCTCTCTCTGTCTGTCTGTGTCATGTATTGTATGTCACAATTGCAGGATGCTGGGCACACGCGCGCCCCGAATAAGTGACCAAGTTCTGTGGGTGTGTACCCCACGCCAGTGTAGTAGCCACGGTCGTCCGCACGCCACGAAGTGAAGTGTCCCAACGTCATAGGGCGGGAAGCTGGGTTTGGGTGGTCGCGAAGAGTCGTTTGGATATTTGGTAGAGCTTGAAGCCCCCCCCCCCCACGAAGTGGGGGTATTGTCTCGCGTCGCATGAAAACCCTGGCACTGGTGAGAACACTGAGCGTTCGGGTAAAATGATTGTTGTTGTTGTTGTTGTTGTTGTTGTTGTTGTTGTTGTTGTTGTTGTTGCTGTTGCTGTTGTTGTTGTTGTTGTTGTTGTCGTTGTCGTTGTCGTTGTCGTTGTTGTTGTTGTTGTTGTTGTTGTTGTTGTTGTTGTTGTTGTTGTTTGTTGTCGCCGTCCCACTCTCGACCCACCCTCGACCCACCCCGCGACCCACCCGCGACCCACCCACGACCCACCCGGCGACCCACCCGCGACCCACCCCGCGACCCACCCGCGACCCACCCCCGACCTACCCACATTGGTTTAACGAAAAAATCGGCGCCTGCGGCGGGCTTTTTGAACCATCTGTGAAGCTTTGGCGCCTGCGGCGGGCTTCTTCAGAGTCTCGCAGACCGCCGACGTCCCCACCGCCCCCTCACTCTTATCCGCATCTGCGGGGTGCTACGCACGTGAGGGCTTTGCCCTTGGCCGCTGGCCCCCCCTCCCTATCGTAGTGGGAGGTGCCAGAGCTATGCTGGGACGTGCCAGCGCTAGTTTTAAGTGGGGCCCGTCCCTCTACAGGAGGAATATTCAAAAGTAGTCAAAAAACAGTCCAGGGACTCTTGTTTGAGTATGTTTTGGGCATGTTTAGGGTATGTTTTGGGTATTTCTTCATTTTTCGTCGAAAATCCCCCTGTAGGGGGACACGCCCGACTTAACGCTGGCCCCCTCTCTCTCGTAATGGGAGGTGCCAGAGCTGTGCTGGGACGTGCCAGCGCTGGTTTGGGAACGTCTTGGAATTTCATGCCAGGGCGACTGGCAGTCAGCAAACATTCTGAGATGTTGGCGTGGCCGCTCAGGCCGGTCATCCGGGGTAGCTTACGGGGGGTCGTGGCCTCGGGAGCGCGCGTCCGGCGTGATCTGCCCGGGCATCGTGCCCTCTCGGTAGCGCGAATCTGTCGGGTGCGACAAAGAGGGGGGTGATGACTAGGGGGGGGGGATATCATGGCGTGGGCCATGATATGTCCTCAGATTTCATGGCGCCTCTTCTTATTTCGTTACGTCCCTGGCCCCCCGCTGGACCGCGCACATGCCGCCGGTCATGATTTGCACCCCCCCCCTCTTGGACACCCCCGTCTTGGCCGCTCCCGAGAATATGGCGTGCAACAGGTTCTGGCCTCGGGGGCGCGAGTCTGGTAGAATGCATTGAGGTATTTGGCCCCAGGAGCGCGAATCGATTGTAAGGTGCAAGGGGTTCTGGACTCGTCATCGCGAAGATGGTGTAATCTATACTGGGTCCTGGCCCCTGGAGCGCGAACCTGGTGTACTTCACGATGGATTCTGGCGTCGGCAGCGCGAATCTGGAGCAACTTGCAATCGATTCTGGCTCTGGGACTGCGAACCAAGAGCAATTTTTGCTGGGGAGTCTGGCCGCGGGGGCGCGAACCTAGAGTAGTTGGCAGGAAGGGTTCTGGCTTCCGGAGCGCGAGTCTGCAATTTGCTATGGATATATCCCTGGGAACGCGGATCACACGTATTTGCAAGTGTCCCAGGGCGACGGGGAATTGGACTTCTGACAACCCCGGTGGGGGGAGGGTAAGCGATTCCTTTTCGCATCTGCCCCTCGCGCGGATCAGTAACGATTTGCAGCTCGTCGCTTGTTTTTAGTCTCAGTTTACAGTAGGAAGATGGACGATCATTTCTAAGATTGGAGACGGGGAATTGAACATTGCACTAGAACTGCCACTGGGGCTGAGGAGTTCAGGACTGGTGCCTGCGTTGCTGAAAGCCGATCCTCGCAGCCTGGTGGCCCCTGTGCCGGCGGATAATGACATTGATGTCCAACACGGTAAGCAGGCCATGACCAGAGACGGCAAGCGGATTGGTAGAGTTGCCATGGCCTGAGAGTTCGGTCTGTATTCATAATGAAAAGCGGTACTTCGTACTTGAGCCGCCTGTGGCTACCTTACACAATGATCAATTCTGATGTCCAACACTATGATGCTGACGTGCACTGCCAAGACATATGATTCCACGGCCACGATACCTCTCACTGCTCCCCTCGGCGCGCCGCCGAGAAGGGGGAGGAGAAAAGGAGGGGAAGGAGAGGATGAAAAGAAGGGGGAGCGTGGATCGTTGCCGTGGCAGTGCAGCGCATGATTGCGATAGTTCCCCGCAGGAGTTGCCGCAAGGTTGCACGTGTACATGCATGCATGCGTGCATGTGTTGCGCCTCCCTAGCCGCCGAGGCTCGAAACTAGCAGGGGCACGTCTCCCATGAACTAGGGTTAAGTCGGGCCTGTCCCTCCATAGGAGGAATATTGAAAAATAGTTAAAAAATAGTCTGGGGACGATTATTTGATCATTTTTTGATCATTTGGGGGTATCCTTTGACTATGTTTAATTTTTCGTCCCAAATCCCCCTATAGGAGGACAGGCCCGACTTAAAACTAGGGTCAGGCAGTCTTACAAAAATCGCGCATCCACAGCTTGAGAGCTCTTCGGTGTCCTCGGGCGGGAGCGTGGGGTGCAGCTGGGCCTGGCCAGCCTGCGGCGCTGCGCGCGGGCTGGCCCCGTCTGGAGCCCTTGGGCTGCGATCTGCTCGGCAGGCTCGCTCTCTGGACGGCGGCCCACAGCATCGCCACGGGCTCCTCATCCGCACGAGGTGGCCATGTCGCCCGAAACAAAGCTGTCCTGTATAGGAAAGCCCCGCACCACCACAAACGAGATTCACTGGGCAACCTCCTCTCCATGTTTCCGTTCGCGGCAGCTGCACGTGACCAGCAGAGGGCAACCAGCTGCAGGGCCGTGCGGAGACGACGCCGTCGAGGCGGATGTCCTGCCATTGAATGGGCCAACGCCCGACATCTGTTTCTCCTCCCTGCCAATGGGCCTGGCAACTGTTGCGTGCTTGGCCTTCCGCTGCAGAGCCCTCTGCCCCGTCGGCCTCCCGGGGCCTTCCCCTGCCAGCCGTCGCTGGAGGCTGCACCGCAGGCCCTCCACACGTCGAGCTCGTGCTCTGCACGCGACAGCTCCCAGGCGCGTGCTCTCTCTGGGCGTTGGACGTCGACCCTCTCGTCCTAATTCTCTTCACTCTTGCCCCCAAGCTCGATCTGTGCAGTCCGACGAGCACAACACAAGTCCTCTCCCTTCTCGTTATCTTCCTCCTCGGCGTCGTCCTCGTCGTCGTCAAACATCCTCCCCTCGTCGTCGTCGTCGTCGTCGTCGTCGTCGTCGTTCTCCACCCCCTCCTCGCCACTTATCCGCCTTCTCGTCGTCCTCCCCTTCTCCCCCATAATTTGTTCTGCGCAGTCCTCCTCCCTCCTCCTCCCTCCTCAGTTTCGACCGCAGTCATTCTGGATCCGGTGATCCACATCCATGTATACCTAACTACCTCCATGGCAGTGCGGATGTTCGCCGCGCTGCTGGGTCTGTTCGTCAGCGCCTGCCACGGTCTGCTCACGCAGCCAGTCGAGGGCGGTTTCGACGAGAGTGGCTTCGACGAGAGCGGCTTCGACGAGGACGGGGGGAGGGAGGAAAGGATGGGGGGGGGAGAACGGAGGACCTCCTTCGCCCCCTCCCCCCTCCCTCTGCTTCCTTGCAGCCTCCATCGCCCTCGTCGTCCTCCTACGTTTCGACCTGAGGATAGACCGGTTGTAATTTGTTCGAGCCTTCCTCAGGACGTCGGGTCCACATCTGGGGGGGGGGGGCGCAACGTCTAAGGTTTCACACTGGGCTGGGGATTTGATTCTGTTCGATCTGTGCAAGCTTTGCGGCCCAACGGTTGGCCAAGCTGGGGGAAGCGTGTCCGCCACACAGAGCCACAGGTAATGGCAAGCACTACCTCAGTAATATCCAAAAGGGGGTCTGTCCTAAGGCTTACAGCAAAGCCGAGAAGGCCAGACGCGAGGATCGATAACCTTTAATGTAATAGACATAGTCGCAATATCCGCAACTCATCCCCTCATTCCGACGCTGGCCACCCTTATCCCCCCTCCCCTTCCCAGGCGCGCGTGAGCGCGAGAGCCAAGACCCATCAACGATGTTGCACTAGACCCTCCCTCCACGCTCCCCCATTCAGATGTCCCTACAAGGGTTCACTTCCACTGAAGGAAGTGCCCCGTTGGAAAACATCCGCCTGAAAACCTTGGACCGTGACAGAACACCATTCCTGGGACTCCAACGCCGCGGATCAACATTACCGTTGCGTCCAGACGACCATGATTCGTGCCAGGACACCACCTCCTGTGATGTCAACACTGGGAATCCACGTAACTGTTGCGCCATGACAGCCTTACATCGTACCAGAACACAGTTGCTGGGACGTCAGCCACGATCATATTTGAAACTGATGTACGATCTCAAGACGAATGTGCGCGGGCGCTGGGGCCAGAGCCACAGCTTGAAAAGGTACCGCCCCCCATCCGTGGAACTATTTGCAAACGTTTAGGGCGGATGTGCGCGGCGTCAATGCGAGAGCCACGTTTTGAATGTTTCCCGCCCTCCACCCGTGAAGTTCTTGCAACGTTTTAAGGCGAGTGTGGGCGGCGTTGAGGCGAGAGCCACATTATGAAAGCGGCCCGCTTCCCCATCCGTGAAGGCATTGCGAATGCGCAGCTTATGGATCATCAGTGGTGGGGGATTCTCAGGCACGCCCGGCACGCCGTACAGGCACGCTTCGGGGTGCGACAGGGAGGAGTCGCATATAACGGAAAAGTGGAAGAGGAAAGGGAGGAGGAAGAGGAAGACTAACTTGTTATTGTCCACCCTTTCCTCGCCACATTTTTTCCGCTGGGGCTACGTAGCATTCGCCTTGTCGTTCAAATATGAAGATTATGAGGAGGAAGAGCAGCAGGAGGAGGAGGAGGAGCAGGAGGAGGAGAAGGAGAAGGAGGAGGCGGAGGAGGAGGAGGAGGACCTCCATGGCCATGTGAGTTCAAGGCTAAACTGATGACGCTAAAGTGACACAGCCGACTCTGATTAGCTTTGGCTGTTCCGTCGCCCCTTGTCGAGCGATTAAGGCCACAGGAACGATTTCGTCGAGTGCCCCTGCCGGCCTCGGCGTCTCTTCTCTCTCGTCCATGGTCTTTTGGCTCAAGTTCCTTCCAGCGCGGGCCCCACCGTCTGCGGAGCGGATGACCGGCGATGGCGATGGGCAGCGGGCGTCAGGTCGCCATCCAGAGCTTCAAGGGCGGCGCCTTCGTGTCGCGGGCATGGCGCCGCATCTTCTCGCGCTGCTGCTCGCGATCCGCTGTTTGGTGCTGGTGGCCCATGGCGAGACAGTGGCAAGGGCTCGGCTTCCGATCGTCGGACAAGGATTTCCGCGAACCCGCCTTCGCAGGAACCCAAAGCCACCCCGTCTCAACGAGCAGTCGATCAGCAGGCAGGTGGTGAAGACGACATGCCCGTTGATGAAGCACCTGGCGCGGCTCTTTCCTCGGACCGCGCGGAGATCCTGGGCATCACTGGCTCCAAGGTCAAGGTTCTCAAGGGCAGCATCGTCGGTGATGCCAGTGCCCAAGCTGAGAAGTTGGTCATGGCAGTGGATGGGCGGCAGGGAAATACCACTCTTCAGGCACGTACCGACATCATGCAGCTCCAACGTCGGCTGGAGAATGCTGCTGACCAAATGCGACAATGTCGTGAACAACTGGATGCCATGCGCAAGGTGCTCGGCATGGCAAAGAGCGTGGCCCCATCAAGGATATCGGGTCGGTGACAGAATGGGATAGTGGGCCAGACAGCACGTTCATGTGCGCCAGCACCGTGGACAACGTGGACATCAATGAGCTTGAATGTGTATTCAAGCCGTGGCTGGAAACGGCCAAGTTTCAGGACGACCAGTGGAAGATCATCGGCACGACTTCAGGCCGAAGGTTCATCATCCAGCTCCCGGGGGACATCCGTGCGGCGACAAGAAAGGATGTGGTTGCGAAGAGAGCTCTCAAGGATGCCAGCGGTAGTTGACGACTGATTTCCGCGAACGTAATGTTCAACGGTGCCTCTAGAGTGTTTGTGGGACGTGACCAATCCCCGAAGGAAGTCATAACGGATCTCCAGACAATGGTTGCGTCGTTTCTCCTCCGTGAAGCCCATCCACAGGCTCGCCGCCGACGTGATCGCATCAGGAGTCTGGTCCACCTCGATGGCGCCCCCCCGTCGGCGTTCAGCTACAAGTGGGCCGCGAGCGTGACGACCCCACAAAGGCGCTCTGGAACTACGGGGCTGACCAGCTGCGTGGAGTGGGCGAGGAAGCGGTGTTGGCGTCGTTCAGTGTTCGTTTTCATGCGGGTGAGGTGGTTCAGTGGCGCATTGAGAAGCACATGCAATATTTGGAACGGGGACCCCAAACAAATCCCAAACCACAGGGCGCAATTCATGACATGGACTACCATACCCTTGCTACATCACATGCAACAGACAAGACAGCGGAAGGTACAAATCTCAGGCATATCGTGGCACTCTTAGCGTTTGTTGGGCTCCAGAGGGTGCGTGGGGCGTATGAGGAGCCGCGACATGCCTGCCACGTTCATGCACTTCAAGGTGCGATATTTGTGTCTACTCCTCAGCACGACGCAGGTGGAGTCGCACTACTATAACCGCCGCTCGCTCAAAAGAGTTCGTAGGTTGGTCTTCGCGTGATGGGGGGATCAGACACGAGGGGGCAATGCTTGGCACGGTGCACCAGCTGTCGGCGAAGGCCCATGTAAATGCTGACCGACCTGGCGCGATGCCTATCGTTTACAACTTTCACAAACACGGCTTGACAAGGCAGCATGTGGCTTCTATTGGCGCGAGGGTTGCCGCGGAGACGACAGTGGCTTCGCATCCTTCCACCGAGGCATAGGGGGCACAGCGACTTGCAGGCTGACTCGCTGGCTGGACCCGCGGAGCTTGGCCCAGAGGTTCAGATGCACTTCGTCGCTGGCGACCAGGGGCTCGCCCAACTGGACCGAATAATTTTGCGCGAGCACGCCTGGCTTGATCCTACTTCAATGGTCGACGTCGGCACCGGCCCCGCCACCGCCTGCGAGGCTGCGCAGGCAGGCAGGGAACGTCCGACCACGCCCCCGCCCGGGCCCCCTCGCCCACCAGAGAAGCTCCCCGAGGACTGGACCATCCCCCGCTTCGTGCGCCAGGCTCATGAGTGCAAAGAACTCCTGAACCGCATCCTCTCTCGCTTTAATATTCATTCCCTCCCCGCGCTTGCTAAGTGGTCCGAGCGCGGGCGCCTGCCGAGGGGGGCGGCCAGATTGATTGGGGACAGGCTAGTGCTAGCGCCCCCCCCGCCCGCCCGAGGCTAAAACGGCTCCTTTCGGGTCAATGTCCAGGGCGGTCCACGCCGAGGTCACCTGGTTGACCGGCGCCCCGTTAGCTTCGGGCCCCCTAGCTGCCGAACGCGTTGCAATATCGGACAACGCAGCTTCTGCTCCCAGCCCCGTGCAGCTTCGCAGGCGCAATGGGAGTCTCAAACAATAGATTCTTGGTAATAGGTTAAACGGAGCGGAGTCTGCTTTGAAGATCTCTCGCTGATGGGCCAGGCAAAAACGCTTGCGGTCCTGTTGGAAGGCCGAGCGGCGCAGGGGGAATCTCTGGGTTTCGAAGGGGCAAACGCCCCCTCTCCAGGCACTCCTCGGTCCTGTTGGTGATGTCGTCTCCGATCCCTCGCAGAGGTTCTCGCCCCCTCATGCTCGCTGGACCCTTGGTTTTGCGCCCCGCTCGGCCCCTTTCCGGGATGCTTGCCAGATATATCGCCACGCATGTTCAGGCGTTTGACTTTTCGGATGTTGCCCCGCCCACGGTCGGCTCGATTGCGCCGGCGAATCGCGTTTCTAAACCCGCGGCCATTGGCCCCGATGGGCTTCCCCGCGCTGCGCGGCAGCAGCCTGGCCCCTCTCAGGAAGTGCTGTTCGAGCTCATGCTCGAGCTGCTGGGGGGCTTTCCTCCTCCGACATCCTCGCATGAAGTGGCGCCGCTGGTCATTGCTCCGGCAGGTCGGCGGCCCCTCGATGACTCCTCTGTCGCGCGCCAGCCGCAACATGCGAGACCTCTTGCTCCGAGGGAAAAAAAACAACACCTTGAAAATGGCGTTGAGATGTTGGCCGCGGAGCGCAACTCCAGCGCGGAGCAAGCCACCGCGCGTTAGGCGCACCCGGATCAAAGAGGATTCTTGCCAGGTGGGAATTCGCTCGACAGTGGGGCTCTCTCGGGCGCGTCTGCTTGACTGGCCAGCATGTGCCCCCTGTTTGATTCCCGTCTCCCCTCGCTCCTCTTCCTCGACTTCGGCGACGCCATCATTTTTCTGTTTCACTCGTTCCTCTGGGAGCTACTTCAGCGCCTCGGGTCCTCGCGGGAAGTCTTGGGCCTCGCGAAGGCCATTTATTCATCCGCTGTCGCGAAAGTCCTGCTCTTTGGCGCCATGTGGCCCTTCTGTGCAGTGCTGTCGGGGTTGGTGCGAGGGGATCCTGCCTCCGCCCCTCCTGGGCTCTGTCTGTGGACCCCTTCCTGCGCGACGAGAGATGGCTGGGTCTGAGGCGGGCGCGCGCGCGTGGATGACGTGGGGGGGGGCTCTTTCGGATTTCGGCGCCGCCTCGCGTCTGGCTGGCACCCTGTACGCTGCGCAAGAGCTAGCTGGCCTAATCTCAAGCCGCCGAAAATGCCCCCCCCCGCCTCGGGCCCCTGCGCTCCCTCTGCAGCACCAAGTCTTAGCGCGAGTTGCCACGCTGGTCCCGAGATGGCAGTCGCTGCCAGTGGCATCGCGCGCTGAAGACTAAGGGGCGCGGGCCGGTCCCGAGGCGAAATATCATGCGCGGGCTCGAGCGTTTCGGGAGCGGGCGGGAGTTGTGAGCAGCTTCGCCGAGAACGCCGCGCCCCGAGCTACCGCGAATGTTATGCATGCATAATTCGCGCGATGTCTCGAAGTTTTGTGATTTGGCTCAGCTCTCGCTGATCCCTAAGTCCAGCCTGCGCTCGGGATCTCGATCTCTGCCCACCGTCTTGCGCCCGCCATGCCTCTGGGCCAACTCTTGGCGTTGCAGCGCTGGCCCAAGCTCGGCCCTCTGTCGATGAGGGCCCGGTCTATTGCTGCCCATGCATGGTCTGCCCGCGGTGCACTCGCCGATCGGCAGCCTCTGGCGCCCGCTGCAGCAAACAGGAAGACAGTCTCTGCCTGCGTTTCCTTGGCTGGCCGACAAGTGGAGCCCTCCGCGCGGGAGAGCGCCCCCCCCCCTGCGCAAGAGCCGGCGAATGCGCGCCAGAGCTTCCCGAACATCACACAATGCAGGGCCCCACTGGCGACGGCGGCGGAAGCTGTAGGAAAAGCCTTGGAGGCGGGGCCCCACGCCCCCGCGCAGCGCGCCCTCGCCAGATCGCTGGCCGATTCGTTGTCCCAGGAGAACCTTGCCCCGACATCCCGTGACATCGGACAAGACTTGCAGTGCCGCTGCGCGTTCGCAACATCAGGGCACCCGAATTGCAGGGGCAGTCGGACTGTGTCCTGCTCCTTTCCGTCGCCCCCGCCCCACAAAAAAAAACAAATTTCGATGCCGCGTTGGGGGGGGGCTTGGCCAGACACTCGAAGCACCGGCCAACGCATGCCCGCAATCGCCTGCTGGTGCTTGGACGGAGCACGAGTCGCCCACTTCTCTGGGCGCCTGAAAACGGCCATTCGGAATGTTTGGCCGCCGCAGATTCCCAATGACGTTTTCCTGGGCCGCAAGCTCGGCCTAACCCAAGGCCATGCCGGATCCCGACAGGCCCCTGGCGGTCCAGAGGTTGATTTTGAGCGCTTTCTTTTACAATTCGGTCCGAGGGTCTCCAAGGATCCAGCGCAATCATCTGCAGGTGTTTGCCCGTGCTGCCCGATCTCTCAGCTTCTACAGCAAGCTCATGTCGAGGAGGCGCCATCCCGCACGAACCTGGTCCGAGCTACGTGCGGGGAGGAGGAGGAGGAGGAGGAGGAGGGCGAGGAAGCGGGGGAGGAGAGGGACCAGAGTAGACCAAGGACGCACCAACGACGGTAAAGCCGACCCTCCCGTCCCAGGTCGGCTCCTCACCGCGTCTCTGCGAGCACTTTTTTTCCACGGCGGGAAGCGCCCCCCTTGCATGGCGGGCGCCCGGTGGGCGTGCCACGCAGGCGAGGCGCCGCTCGAAGTGTTGCCAAGTAGGTCGCCGCCCTCTTTCCTTCTACAGTGGACAGTGGAAGCCCATGCCAAGAAACACCCCGCTTGCCCCCAGGGTGCCCTGGGTCTCTTGGGCTTCGATGGCTGTGTGAGGGAGAGCGCGGCGCTCCCGCACCACAAGACCATGGACGTCCGGGGGTCTCAGGGTTGGGTTTAAGTCTGGCCTGTCCCTCTACAGGAGAAATAGCCAAAAATAGTTAAAACAATAGTTTGGGGACGATTTGTTGGGTGTATATATATAGGAGAGGAGAATAAAGGTGTAAATCTGGCGCTGCTACGCCCACCTTCGGAAGAATGCCACTGACTGCACCCCTTCGAAGAGTAGAGCCGCGCGCGTGTCCAGATGCATGCTTTACTCTGTATTTAGATATACCTGCCGCGGCCGTCTGTTTTCGAGTCTTATCCGGGCAGGCTCGCTGCGGACTCTCTGCAGTAGGCGGCGCTCACCTGTGGACCAAGTGGTCGCCGCAAGCTGCCCCGAGGTGCCAAGCTTGAAAGCTTATGGAGATCACACTGAAGCGGCTCACGCCAGTCCGCCGACCCCCAGACGTCCACGGGTGGGGCCTTTGGGGGGCCTCTTGGGGACTCCGTGGGGGCCTCTTCTGGGGGCCTCTCTGGGGCCTCCTCGGGGCCTCTTGGGAGCTTCTTGGGCGCCTGCTGGCGGTCTTGGGGGTCCTCATGGGGCGGAGGGCTCAGAATGTCAGTTCAGGTTGCCTTTCTTGGCGTCTTGGGACCCGCTTCGACTGCCTTGGGACCCTCTTGGGGGCTTATTGGGCAGTCTTGCTGCGATCTTGGGGGCCTCTTGAGCCGTCTTGGATGCTGTTAAGATCAAGCTTGCGAATACATTGGGACGATTCTTGCTACTTTGGGCCCTCTCGGATGCCATGTTGGAGCCCTCTTGGGGCGTCTTTGAGGCCTCTTGGGCAGTCTTACGTCTTGAGGCTATCTTGGCCGTCTTTGAAGACTCCTCGGCGTGTTGGACCGCAGCTTGAGCCAGCTTAGTTGGCATCTTGGGCATCTTGGAGGCGACGGAGTGTAGATTTGGAAGCTCCCGAGGCCCTGGGGGTGCGTTGATGCGTTCCCGGTCCCCTCCCCCCCCTGCCCCCCCCTCTCGAATGCGATTTTGGAACCCATCTGGAGGGGGGAAGGGGGAGGGGGACAGCCACATGTCTCACACGCCACCTTTTCACCCTCGGCAAGCAGGGGATCGGCGGATGAGTCACGCATTATCCTGGCAGTTACTAGATGAGTTCTTCAGGTGCATGTGGGTTTTGATCGGATAGGACGGTTGTTACCACCGACCATTCGTGCCCCGATCACGCCGGATGTCCACATCCACATCTGGGTTGCATTCTTTTTTCAAAATTCGGCAATGGAGCAAATGGGCGTTTCGTGTTGGTAGCACAAAATCGGGATCGGGTCAACTGGTTTCGAAGGAGCTTGCTAGAGGGTTTGGGATGTAGTTGCGGGACACATGTTCCCTGTTTGCCGCGTCGTTTGATCTGCATTGGGGAGGCGTTGAAGACTTCACAGAGCAGTTAGTCAGAGCAGTTCTCCACTCACCTCCGTTTTCCCACCAGCTGATGTCCCGTCTGTTCATGTCCGGCGGGTTGCAGGACTTTTCTCCTTCGGCGTTGTAGCCGCACCTTTGCGCATCCAATGTTCGTGGGGACAGGTCTTTGGGTGACGGGGCGTTAGATGCACTGTCGTCTGAGAGGGGGGGGGGCGCGGAGGTGGTCGTGGGTTCCGTCGCGCCCAGCTGCTATCTGAAAACTGCTTCCGTGCGCGCGCCGTCCAGGGCCACCGGAGCGCCCTCGGAGCGCCGCGAGGCTGCCCTGGGACGGCCGCGGCGCCCAGTGCACTTCTACAGAGCCGCCAGATCTCTCGGAGGTCCCCGGTGCATCCCGATCAAGAGCCTGCCCCGTTCCCGGCTTCGTTTCTCGGAGGTGGACAGACCTGCTACCCTGGCACGTCGATTCAGGAATGGGGCCGTGTTCGGTTCGCGAGGGGGCGTCGCGGCCGTCACGTTTGCGGGTCCAGGTCCGTCGGTTTCGGTCCCAGGCCGTTTTCACTAAGGGGAGGTTTACTAAAGTGAGGTTTGTCCGCCGCCGAGTTTCAAGTTCTGGCCTGGGCAGTGGTGTGGATATCAGATGAATCGTCGGTCGCCCAAGGAGCAGCAGCTGGCCTCGGACAACGGGTCCTGGCCGGGCCTGCCCAAACTGAAGTTCCACAAGCCGCACTTACGGAGGCCGCTTCAGGGATCCTCCTCCTCCCTCGCCGTTCTGCTTTTCCTCGTCGTCCCACTCGTTGTCGTCGTCGCCGCCGTCGCAGAACCAACTCGATCAGCAACGCAACAGCACAGCGCCGCTGGCTCCCGGCAGTCTATGTTGCGCGGCAGCGGCGGGGGAGAAGGAACGAGAAACAAACGGACGAGGGCGGTCGCGCAGGCGGGAGGCCAGGGCCAGCGGGACAAAGCAGGCGGGCGGGCAGGCGGGAAGAGGCAATAGGGCGGAGGAGGACTATCACTGACACCCTGCCGTTGGGAGCCCGTGTGTCTTCAACCGTCACATGCTGACGGTTCCCCCACCTGGGACGAGAGTGATATCATGATGCGATTGGCTCAGGATGCGTTCCAGACATTCTGAAGTATCTAGCGGCCCTCCTTTCTGCAGCCCGTAACCCGTGTGGAACGTGACGAACATAGGGAAATACTGGAACTCGTGGAGATCTTGGAAGGTACCGTTATCAGAATCTCTTCTTGCTCTGACTCACGGCTGAATGCCACTGATGCTGTGTTCGCCCTCCCTTCCGCTTCAGCCTTGAGCGTCCATGTCCATGCTGCCGTTGCAGGGAGGGCCGTGATCCCGCGCAGAGGCCCAGGCACTCGCGGTAAGAGCTTCGACGTCCGCCGTGCGTGGCTCCCGCAGAGCCTCGAGGCTGCCTGGCCCACGTTGAGGCCATGCCGATGCCCACGCGGCGAGAGCCTCGACAGCCGCCTGGCGCGACTGCCACGGAGTTCCACGGCGCAGTCAGACACGGCGCTGGCTATGCCGCCGGCGCGGAGCTTTTCGCCAGTGCCCTGCGCGAGGCCACCCGAAGCCACGAGAAAGCCAGGAGACCCGCGTCCTCCGCCTTGAGGCGGCCGTGCACCGACGTGCTGAGGTCCAGTCGAGGCCGCCTGGCCCTCCCTTCCGGTCGGACCCTCCGCCTCTCCCCCTCGCCCACGCTTCGGCTCGTCCCCCCCTCTGGGGTCGCAGCCGTGCCGCTGCTCCGCCCAGTCCTCCGCCGTCTTTCGGCCGCTGCGGGGGCCACCCGCCTCGCCTTCTCCCTGGCCTTGCTGGCCTCGCTGCTCTGCTGTCCTCCGCGCTGCCACGGGTTGCCTTGCTTCCTCCACCTGGTCAGCCGCCGTTGCAGCCGGCTCCACTGCGCCACGCTTTCTGGCCGCAGCCAGTCATTGTGTTCGCACCGCGTGCCTAGTCATCAGCATGGCCTCTTCGCCCATCGTAGACTTCCCCACCTTCCCGTCCCCCGCGTGCCCCCTCGCGAGTGTCCCCTCGCGAGCGTTGTCAAATTCCCTCTGGGCGGATCTGGCTTCCCCAAGCTGCATGAGCTGGCCCAGCCCGCGCGCGCCTCCGCACGACCTTCACTACGCCGCGCCGCCGCGCGCGGGGCCGCGACGCCAAAGCGCGTGCGCGTATGTGTGTGTGAATGTGTGAATGTGTGTGTGTGTGAATGTGTGTGTGTGTTTGCGATGTGTGTGTGTGTGTCTGTGTGTCTGTGTGTCTGTGTGTCTGTGTGTGTTTGCGGTGTGTGTGTGTGTGCGTGTGTGTACGTGTATGTGTGTTGTATGTGAGGGTGTGTGAGTGTGTGTGTGTGAGTGTGTGTGTGTGTGGGTGAGTGTGTGAATGTGTGTATGTGTGTTGAGTGTGTGTGTGTATGTGTGTGTGTTGTGAGTGTGCCCTAGCCGAGCTGCGGGGTAAAACACATGTACGCCGCACTCGCCTCTTGCATGACTGTGCTGTTTGTGTTCCGCACGCTCCTTCACATGCATGGCCTTACGGGCGTTTTCCACGTACATGCACGTTCTCGCATTTTTTCTGCACGTGTCCGCTCCCATCCACACCCCCATCTGCAACGCCAAGTGGTGATTGGACTCCGCGCGCCCTGCCTCAGTATTTACGACGGTGCCGCCACATCGCCGCTGCCGCGCAGCGCCAGCGGCAGGCACGCGCTGCGATGGCTCGCCGTTTGGCGGCGGCTGCTGCGGGCGTGCCGCCCTTCGCCGGCTCCTCGGCGCCGCGCGTGGGCACCACTGGCGCGACGTGCGCCGCTGGCGCGACGGTCGCCGCTGGCGCGACGGTCGACGCTGGCGCGACTGACGTCCCCGCTTTCTGCGGCGTGCGTCCCGCTGCTTGCGCCGCCGACGTGGCGGGCGCCCCCTCGGCCGCCGCTGCTAGCGCCGCCGACGCCCCGGGGACGGTCGGCGCGGCCAGCGCAACTTGGCCGCCCGCTTCGGCTGGCAGCGCGGGCGCCGCTGGCGCCTTGGGTGCGTTGGCGCGGCCCGGGCTCTCTTGTGGGCCCCCGCGCCCTGCGCCGCTGGCGCCGCTGACGCTGCCGACGCCGTCGGCGTTGGCGTTGTCCGCGCCGCCGGCGCTCCCGGCGCGGACGGCGGCGGGCGCTTGCGCTGCGGCCGCCGCCGCTGCTGCCCGCGCGGGCCTCTGGCTGGCTGGGGCCAAGCTGGCGCTGGCCGCCGAGTTCGCGGCCGCCGACGTCACGGCGCGCACCGACGCGGACGTTGTCGCTGGCGTAGAAAGCGACGTGTACAACGCTGCCCTGCCGACGCTTGCATCCTTGACAGCACTGCCGAGAGCATCGACGCCAACATCTTCGCCAGCACAGCCTCAGTCACTGGCGCCATCATCCTCGCCAGCGCAGCCGAGAGCTTTGCCATGCTTGCGCCACCATCCTCGCCAGCGCAGCCGAGAGCTTCGGTGCCATCATCCTCGTCAGCGCAGCCTGCATCGCCGATGCCGCCACCCTCGCCAGCGCAGACGAGAGCATCGACGCCAGCCGATGCCCTTGAATCCCTGCCCGATGTCATGATGGGCCCTCTCCCCAGGCTGCTCCCCCCTGTGGGCTAAGCAGTCAGTCCACTTGCAGGAGTGGGCGGGGCCCCCCACCCGCCCCTGGCCCGCCTGCGCCTTTGCCAGCGCAGGCTGGAGGCAGTGAGCGCCAGGATGTGGGCAGCGTGCTGGGCAGACTACCTGCAGGAGCGCGCGACACCCCCCACTTCTGCCCGGGCTGCTCCTTCCTGCGGGCTGGGCGATCAAAACGCAGGAGCAGGCGAATCCTCCCACTTGCACCCCGCTCTGTCGCCATCGTCCTCGCCAGCTCAGCTCGGAACTGCGATGCCAGTATTTCCCCGTGTGCTGCCAGGAGCATACCACCGCCCCCGCCAGCGCAGCCGAGATCACCGACGCCAGCACCCTCGTCAGCTCAGCCTGGATCATGGTTGCCCGCATCCTTGCCGGCACAGCTGGGAGCACCAACGCCAGCTCGCTCGTCCGTGCATTTGGGGACCGGGAAGGCAGCACCCTCGCCTGCGGAGCCGCGATCTAGGGTAGAGTCGCGAACAGCACCATCACGCTCAAGCGATCTGCGGTAGAGTCGCGAAAGGCACCGTCACGCTCCACTCATGGATGCCGCCCCAGATCTCGGCACGCAGAACCGCGGTGCCACGCGAGAAGAGGGCGCTGATTCGGAGAGCAGTAGCTTCCGCATGAAATGGGAAGGAGGGACACTGCGCTCTTGTAGCCTGGCCTCCGCCTCTCGTCGTTTTCCAGATGGCGGCCAGTTGCTGATCTTTCGGCAGATGTGCGTCTGTCGCGCAATGAAGTCCGCGAGCGGCGGCGCTGCTGACGCGGATGGGGGCGCAGCCCCGAAGCGGCCGTGCCGCGCAATCCAGGGAGTCACGCGCCACGATTGCATGTCTGCGCTGTTTCGCAAGGGGTTGTCCTGGAGCTCGCCGAGAACTGGTTTCTTCGGGTTCTCTACGACGACGAGTGCGCGGGCGCCTTCCAGCGCAAGTTGAAGCGGCGCGTCTCGAACGTCCGCGCCCAACTTCAGCAGCCGCCCTCCGGCCGCGTCTTCGAGGGCGCAAAAGGTGACGGGTGTCCCAATTTCCTTTGATCTTCGGCTGCAGGCTTGCGCGCGGGCGCCTGGTTCACGGGGGCGAGCACAAGGGCCGGGCTGACCCGCTCCATCTCAGCGCTGCCTCGCGCTGCTTGCGCGCGAGGGCGAATGCTGCAACCCGACTTGCGCGAGCGCTTGCGTGCGCGGCTCCCTCCCATGCCCCCCGCGCCGCGACGCCGCGGCGAAGTGGCCTCGCCCTTCGCGCCGTGGAATTTCTCGGGGCGGGTGGCGAGAGGTTCCAACTCCGCGCCCCGAGCCGCCGCTTCTTGGACCAATCTCTCGCAACGTCAAGACGCGGGCCAGCCGTCCCCGCAGCTGCGGCAGCACCGACAACAATGCGGTCAGCTCGCACTGCCCTGCCCCGCCTGCGTATTATTCAAGACGCACTCCCAGCGGGCGCCGGGCCGAGGACCGCCGCGCCGCCGACTTCTTCGGCGAGGCAGATTCCCACGTCGTCAACTACCCCGACTGCAAGCTCAGCAGCACGCCTCGCAGCTTCTTCGAAGAGCACAGGCGCAACCTCCACGGCAAGGGGCCAGCCCGGCCGCGCCGCCGAGGGAGTGGTCGACTTACCTTCAGTCGCTCGCTCGCTCGTACTCCTCCTCCTCCTCCTCCTCCTCCTCCTCCTCCTCCTCCTCCTCCTCCTCCTCCTCCTCCTCCTCCTCCTCCCCCCCCCCATCCCCCTTCCCCATTCTCCTCCTCCTCCTCTTCCTCCTTTTCCTCCTCCTCCTCTTCGTCCCCCCCCCTCCTCCTCCTCTTCGTCCTCCCCCCTCCTCCTCCTCCTCCTCCTCCTCCTCCTCCTCCTCCTCCTCCCTCCTCCTCCCCCTCCTCCCTCCCCCTCCCTTGGCGTCGTCACCTCTGTCTTCTCATCCTCCTCGTCGTTCGTCCTCGTCGGCGTCGCCCTCGTCGTCGTCTTCCTATTCGTCGTCGCCCCCCCTTGCTCTTCGTTCTCCTCCTCCTCCTCCTCCTCCTCCTCCTCCTCCTCCTCCTCCTCCTCCTCCTCCTCCTCCACCCCCCGGCCCCCCGCGTGTGTTTTGCTCTTGTCGCCAGGCGATC